ATCAGTGGAAAGTGATGCCTTTCGGTTTGCATTCAGCACCGGCAACCTTCCAACGGGCATTAGATAGTGTGATTGGGCCTGAAATGGACCCCCACGCTTTTGCATACCTTGACGATATCATCGTCATTGGAAAAACGTTTGAGGAACACTTGCGGAACTTGAGAGAAGTGTTCAGAAGATTGCGATCAGCTAACCTGAGAATAAACATTGAGAAATGCGAATTTTTCAGAAAAGAAACGAAGTATTTAGGCCATGTTGTGAGTAGCGAGGGAATAAAGACGGATCCAGATAAAGTTGCCGCAATAGTGGAAATGAAACCTCCAACATCGGTAAAGGAGGTACGAAGATTTCTTGGAGTAGCATCTTGGTACCGAAGATTTGTCCCACAGTTTGCAACAATTTCACAACCATTGACTAGTCTTCTTAAAAAGGGAAAACATTGGAAATGGGGTCCCGAACAACAAGAAGCATTCTCAGACCTAAAAGCAAAGTTAACTGAAGCCCCCGTTCTGGCTTGTCCGGATTTCACAAAGACGTTCATATTGCAAACTGATGCCAGCAACTATGGCCTTGGAGCAGTTCTAACACAGGAGTTAGATAACGTGGAACGTGTCATAGCCTACGCCAGCAGACATTTAAAACAGGCTGAAAAGAACTACTCAGCGACTGAAAAGGAATGTCTAGCCATACTGTGGGGCATTAGACACATGAGACCCTATTTAGAGGGTTACCAGTTTATAGTTATTACCGATCATTTGGCCCTAAAATGGTTAAATTCTATTGAAAGCCCTACAGGTCGACTCGCACGTTGGGCTCTCGAGCTACAGCAATATAATTTTTTGATCAGATACCGTAGAGGAAAACAGAACGTTGTGGCAGATGCGCTTTCGAGAACACCTTTGGAAACGTTAGACCTAGCCACAGTAAAATATGACACCAGTCCGTGCCCATGGCTAGAAAAGTTGAAGGAAACCATAACCAAGAATCCGAAGAAGTATCCAGACTATACAATCATTGAGGGAAATGTTTATCGACATTTTCCCAAGCAAATAAACGATGAAGATTGCACACCATGGAAGCTGTGTGTGCCCACCGGATCAAGGATTCAGGTCCTTAGAGAAAATCATGACAGTGTCACCGGAGGTCATTTGGGAGTGCGAAAGACTAGCAACAAGGTGGCGAACCGATATTTTTGGCCTGGTATGTTCCAGGACATCAAACGTTATGTCCAGCAGTGCGAATGTTGCCAAAAATATAAAGTCAGCCAACAGAAACCAGCAGGGGAAATGTTGATAAGAATCCCGGAGGAACCATGGGCCACTATTTGTGCGGACTTCGTAGGACCCCTACCGCGATCTAAGCACGGTAACTCAATGCTACTCGTTATTATGGATAGATTCTCAAAATGGACGGAGTTGGTTCCATTGCGGAAGGCTACGACAGAGGGATTAATAAAGGCATGCAGAGAAAGAATTATTTCTAGATATGGGGTTCCAAAAATATTGATAACCGATAACGGAACTCAATTCACTAGCAACCAATTCGAAAAATTCTTAGCAGAAATGGGTATAAAGCATCAACTTACGGCTCCTTACACCCCGCAAGAAAACCCTACTGAAAGGACAAATCGGACAGTGAAAACAATGATAGCACAAGTTTCGAAACAACATAATACATGGGACGATATGCTGCCCGAAATAATGTTAGCCATAAACACTAGTGCATCAGAATCCACTGGATATTCGCCGGCATACCTGACACAAGGAAGAGAACCGCGACTGCCCCAGGCATTATATGATCAGCTCACAACAGGAACTGGTGCTAGAATAGTCTTACCAGAAGACCGTGCCCAGGAGTTGAAAGAAATATTTAAGATAGTGCGTCGAAACTTGGCAAAAGCATCTCAAAACCAGCGGAGACAGTACAACCTTAGACGACGAGTTTGGAAACCAAAGATTGGGGAGCAAGTTCTAGTTCGTCTACATCCTCAGTCGAAGGCCGTCGAAAATTTCGCCGCCAAACTAGCGCCCAAATACGGAGGGCCGTTTGTCGTACAAAAATTCCAATCTCCAGTAATCGTTGTAGTCCGAGGAAAAGACAACATCACCCGCGTCGCGCACTTAAGTGAAATTAAGCCTTGTTATGAGAGAACAGTTACTGTGCAGCTTTTGGTCCCCGACTCCGGGGAAAATCCAATATATGAAATAACCAACCCACCGCCGGATAATCATCGTACGCCCTCACCCACACCCGCGATAGGGGAAGAGATCAACACCGAAGATATCCATTCAATATCCAACACCTCACACAAACATGAGGAGGTTCCTACTTCATCCTCACATGCTTTCGCACATTTAGAAGAAGACTCCAGATCGACCGCAAGTAGTTTTGTGACAGTTTCCGAAGATCCTAGTTCTGAGTGGTGGACCCAATGGCAGACGCTGGTTGGTGTTCCTCCATCATCACCGCTATATAACATAACCGTACAAGCAAATCTGTTGCATAGTGATGACGTACAAATTCCATCGCAATCCAATGCTGCCGTCATATCGGACGATCACAGGTCCCCCAACGTGAAGGAAGATAAATCATTACCAGGAACGCCGGGACACGTTGTCGAACTGTCATCACCATCGATGTCTTCCCGATCGTCATCCTCATCCTCATCAGCCTCGTCGTCTTTATCGTCATCCTCATCCTCATCAGCCTCGTCGTCTTCATCATCATCCACAAGCCAAACGATGACACCTCCTCAGCCAACATTGTGTAGCAGTCAACCTTCCATCGATGAAGTGTTTATACCCAGTAAGGAGAATAATAGCACACCAAGTACAATCAAATTGCCAGTCACTGAAATCCCAACTGAGTCAACGCCATCGTCCTCGACAGACAATCCCGTGAACGATAACACATTTCTCGAACTGCCAAATTATCCCGAAAACCTACAAATCCGTATCGAGAAGTTTAAAAACAATTGGAAAAAGGGACACAAACTGAAGCGAATTGTTAAACAAGATGGCAAGCAGTACCGCATAATAATATCAGCAGACGGGGTAGTGAAGGTAGCTCTCCGAACTTCTGCAATTGGTCTCTAACATACCTTCCTATTCGACCGAGATATAGTCGAACCAAAGTGCCCATGTCGGAGAAATAAAAGGTTACATAACACCCTAGGGCTTCCTGGCTATTGAAACCCAATAGCAATAGAGAAAGCAAATCAAGGAATCAAAAATCAGAGGGAGGAAGAGATGCCATGTAACGCCCAAAAGTCATGCTTTCGTTTTTGGGGTACATTATTATTTTAAACACCATTTTTACTTACGTCCCCTAGTAGAAAGAAGTATACTTAAAATACAACATTGGAACCCCTGGTGGCAAATGGCGGAACTACGCAAAACTGTCAGATTGGGATCAGCTGCTGTCATGAGAAAACAACAATCGTTGTCCAGCCAAAAAGGTATAAAAGGAGACGCATTTCACACAATCGAGATCAGTCTTCTGTTGATGGCTGGTAAGTCAAGTGTGATTGGGAGGAAGAAAAGGCGCGCAACCTCGGTTGAATTGAGTCTTAGTAAGCCAAACAATAAGCCTTGACTATTTGTGGTGACTGGACTGGACTGAACGCAGGGTCAAGTGAGGGTTGTAGCAATACTCCCTATTCTTCGGGCTGCGTTGACGGCGACTGAACGCAGGGTCAAGTGAGGGTTGTAGCAATACTCCCTATTCTTCGGGCTGCGTTGACGGCGACTGAACGCAGGGTCAAGTGAGGGTTGTAGCAATACTCCCTATTCTTCGGGCTGCGTTGACGGCGACTGAACGCAGGGTCAAGTGAGGGTTGTAGCAATACTCCCTATTCTTCGGGCTGCGTTGACGGCGACTGAACGCAGGGTCAAGTGAGGGTTGTAGCAATACTCCCTATTCTTCGGGCTGCGTTGACGGCGACTGAACGCAGGGTCAAGTGAGGGTTGTAGCAATACTCCCTATTCTTCGGGCTGCGTTGACGGCGACTGAACGCAGGGTCAAGTGAGGGTTGTAGCAATACTCCCTATTCTTCGGGCTGCGTTGACGGCGACTGAACGCAGGGTCAAGTGAGGGTTGTAGCAATACTCCCTATTCTTCGGGCTGCGTTGACGGCGACTGACGTACTCATCGGGCTGCTGCTGTGCCAAAGCTGCCGCCACCCTATTCGTCGCTCGCCTATTCATCGGGCCGCCGCTGTGCCAAGCTGCCGCCACTACTACTCGCCGCTGACGTATTCATCGGGCCGCCGCTGTGCCAAAGCCGCCGCCACCCTATTCGCCGCTCGCCTATTCATCGGGCCGCCGCTGTGCCAAAGCCGCCGCCACCCTATTCGTCGCTCGCCTATTCATCGGGCCGCCGCTGTGCCAAGCTGCCGCCACTACTATTCGTCGCTCGCCTATTCATCGGGCCGCCGCTGTGCCAAAGCCGCCGCCACCCTATTCGTCGCTCGCCTATTCATCGGGCCGCCGCTGTGCCAAGCTGCCGCCACTCTATTCGTCGCTCGCCTATTCATCGGGCCGCCGCTGTGCCAAGCTGCCACCACTGCTACCCGTTTATTAACATTTCGACTGAACTTTGTGATTTAGTGTTCTTCGTAAAAAGTTCTGAACGTGATTTTATTGTGTTTAGTGTAGTGTTTAGTGTTATTTAAGGAAATAAATTTATAACGTTTTAAGAAAATATTTTTGCTTCGCTCTCTCTCTCTCTTTATGTCCTAACAAATAAATTTTTGTGACGACTCTGGCCCCCGCTGAACCTACCCCAGCTTCAAAGTGAAAACACGTCGTCACAAGTTTTATATGTAAATAAGATAAATAAGAGCTCCTAAATATATATTCGTTAAAAATAGGCTTCGTTTCCTTGAGTAACAATTTTAATTATTCTTTTTCCACAAAAGCAACATTAGTTTCAATTTTTTTTTTAAATTTTGCCTACATAATTTAGTTGAATTTCTAATTTCGTTTTCTTTCCTTTGATTTCAGTTTCAAACTAGTGGCGATAAATGGGCATTGACCATCAAAGGTAAGTCGAGAACTCACATTTCATTGACCTCTATAAAAAGTTCAATGAAACAACTTCTCAAATAGATATTTTAAATGAGGAAACGGAAACTAGTTCACTGTCAGTTGGGTGGCCGGCCGGCCGACCACACCGTGGTAACCATTTACAAAAACCCACATCTTTGTAATCATCGTAATTAAGGTTTCCATTTCCACTTGGAAAATCTATAAATTGGGGGGGAATTTTCTTTGAGTTGTTCGGTCATAAGGTTAACACATGACAAGGGGAATGTTGGCGGTATTCCTTTTTTTATGAAGTAAATTCTAAGGGAAATTTCCAAACACTTAACAGCGGATGGTAGAGGTCAAGGAAACGATCATTAACTTCCAATAAAAAAAAAAATCGATGAAACAGCATGAAGGCAATTTCCCGAGGACTGGTTTTGTGAGACACAACAGGCAACTAAATCCCAAAAAAGTAAATGGAATGGGGCTGTGATCAGAATAGGGCTGTTATCAGAATATAATGTTTATTATGGGTTATAGGTTGTATTAGGTTAGGTTGAAAAGAGGGGACATAATATTCGCCACTAGTTCTTGCAGACCATTTACCATATATGGAAATCGTTGAAATGTGCCAGGAAACAGGTATAGTGGGTCGAAATTTCACATTTTCACACTTCTTCTAATACTGCTAAAAAATATAGGGATGTAGACAATTTAAAGAATTCGAACACCCTTACCAATTTTATGGGAAGAATTTTTAATTCTAAAATTTTAAAACTAAAGTTTTCAAAATCAAAATTTTGTGGCGGAGCTGCCAAAAGTCTACCACAATACTCAGGAGTGGACTGATCCATTCTATCTTCCCACCAGGTCTTGTGTTCATAGAAATATTAGGATGTGACGAATTTGAAAGGAATTAGAGGCTCATACCGCGTTTTATAAGCTTTATAGCTATTCAAAATTTGGATCCGTTGTGGGGAAGGTACATGTAGTAGTAGTAGTAGTAGTCCGTTCTTCATTCCAGTCCTTGTGCTAATAAAAATATTGATATGTGCGAAGTTTGAAGACAATCGGGCTCTCATTTCACAATTTATAAGAGTTATAATTATTTGAAATTTTGACCATTTGTTATGGAGGTTCTTGTTGGAGTGGTTCAATATTGTCATTTTGCGCACCTGACTTAACACTGACAAAAATATTGCAATCTGCAAAGTTTGCACAAAGTCGAATGATCCTGTCTATTTTTATGAGGTAAATTATTTTCAGTGTGGGGGAAGTACCAGAAGGAGTAGACCATCTCCGAACTCGTTGCTACCTTCGAGAGTTACCATGCGCACCACCCTATATCGACTCGAATCATGTCCAGCAACGGATTTAGTCCAAAGAGACCTAGGATCCAAATCTGTTATCTCGGTTAGGCACGTTTATTCCCTCTCTAGTCATATGGCTGTTGGTCCTTCTTTAAAAAATCCACATTTCTGGCTCTTTTGGTCCTAGAAAAAATTTTCTTTAAAAAATCCACTTTTGTGGCTCTTTTGGTCCTTGAAAAAATATTCTTTAAAAAATCCACGTTTGTGGCTCCGTTGGTCCTTGAAAAAACCTTCTTTAAAAAACCACGTTTGTGGCTCTGTTGGTCCTTGAAAACTCTTGTTTAAAAAATCCACGTTTATTGCTCTGTTGGTCCTTGAAAAAAATCTTCTTTAAGAAATTTACGTTTGTGGCTCTATTGGTCCTTGAAAAAATCTTCTTTAAAAAATCTACGTTTGTGGCTCTGTTGGTCCTTGAAAAAATCTTCTTTAAAAAAATCCACGTTTATTGTTCTGTTGCTCCTTGAAAATATTTCCATTAAAAAATCCAGGATTATTGCTCTGGTACTTGAAAAAATTTTATTTAAAAAATCCACGTTTGTGGCTCTGTTGGTCCTTGAAAAACTATTCTTTAAAAAATCCACGTTTGTGGCTCTGTTGGTCCTTGCAAAAATTTTAGTTAAAAATCCACGTTTGTGGCTCTGTTGGTCCTTGAAAAAATTTTATTTAAAAATCCACGTTTGTGAATCAGTTCGTCCTTGAAAAAATCTTCTTTAAAAAATCCACGTTTGTGGATCAGTTGGTCTTTGAAAAAATCTTCTTTAAAAATTCCACGTTTGTGGCTCTGTTGGTCCTTAAAAAATGTTCTTAAAGAAATCCACGTTTATTGCTCTGTTGGTCCTTGAAAATATTTCCTTTAAAAAATCCAGGTTTTTGCCCTGTTGGTCCTTGAAAGTTTTTCTTTAAAAAATCCGCGTTTATTGCCATGTTGGTCCTTGATAAAATCTTCATTAAAAATCAACGTTTATTGCTCCGATGGTCCTTGAAAAAATCTTCCTTCAAAAAATCTACGGTTATTGCTCTGCTGGTCCTTCAAAAAAATATTCTTTAAAAATCCACGTTTGTCGGTCCTTGAAAAGATCTTCTTTACAAAATCCACGTTTGTGGCTCTGTTGGTCATTTTTTAAAGATATCTCTTAAAACAGACACAGATATTCTTCATTCACCCCATCACAAGTCACAACCCTTCAATGCAGATTTATGTGTAAGTGACACTCTCTTCGATTCTTTGTCACTGCCATAATAATCCACTTCCGCTTCATAAATTGTATGTCACATGCAGTTGTCAATATATGGATTTAAATTGAAATAAGAGGAGGCTTTTTGTAATTTATGGGCAGTGTTCCGTACTCAATATTGCTGCCATAATAAATTAAAAAAAATCATCATCATCCTCTAGTGTCTGCTTGAAGCTGTCATTATTGCAGGCCTATATAATTATCATAAACCTTCTTCTTCTCCCTTGTCCCTTCTCCTCTCCGTCTTTTGCTACACATTTCGTTTCCTGATGGCAGCAGCAGCAATTATCGAACCCGCATTAGGGTTTTCTAAAAATTGACATTTGCAATTATCTGGTCATGAAATGCAGTCTCTCTCACTTGGCTTCGACGTCCCCATTGCAGTTGTCTCATCCTTTGCATGATGACATTCCCTGTAGCTGGCGGGCAAATGTGTGCGGGTGCTGTCGCTTGTCTCTGTAATTACTGGCAGGCAACCACAACTCAACCATGTTGTCGCGTCGCCTCTCATTGTCGACGACGTCCGTTCACTAAGGTCAGGATATAAATTATTTGTTGTCTCACTTAAGATTACTGCCTCAATTTTGGAAAATTACTCGTATATCCATCCATTTATCCGCATGTGGCCTTGTGTCATCACATAATTCCACTTCCCCTCCTTCCCTGCTTTGCGGAGGAAGTGCATTGTGTTGCCTGAGTGGATTTCAATTAAAATTGATCGGTTTAGTGGCGTGCGTAATCTCAATATTAGTGATGCTTTATTTAGGGGTTGTTTGGATTATTCGAAGAGTAATTCGAAAGATTGGGTATGTTAAATTTTGAAGAGGAGGTTAATGAGATGCGTATAGCACTTGGAAAGATAGAGGTTGTTATACTTATGTAGTTCAAATTATAAACTAATGCGGGGGTTATATGGAAAATTTAGGAAAAAATACTTTCCTATGTAAAATATAGAAAAATGAAGACCTGAATTGGATGATATCTTGAACAACTTCTTCATAACCTCAGCCATATGGCTATCATTTGATATGGTCAAAACGTGCCTAGTCGAAATAACGGTTTTGGACCCTAAGTTTCTTTGGACCAAATCCGTTTCAGGACATTTGGAGTCGATCTAGCAATGCCCGTCCGTCCGTCGGTCTGTCTGGCTGTTGCGCACAATAACTTTGGAAGGGAGTATCCGATTTCTTCCAAACTTGGTACATCGTATATTTTTGACAATCTTAGATCGAGTTCGCAGATGGCCAATACCAGTCCACTCCTTCTGGTACTTCCCCCACAAAAATTTCAGCAGAAATATTTAACTGCACAGAAAGACAAAGAATAATCCGATTATGTTCCAACTTTGAACATCCTAATATTTGCATCAGTCCTAGGTCAGGTGCGAAAATTGACAATATCGGTCCACACCATCAAGTACCTCCCCCACAAAGGGTCAACATTTTGAATAATTACAACTCTTATAAGATGTGATGCAAGTGTCCGATTGTCTTCAAATTTCACATATCACAATAATTTTATTAACCCAAGGTCTGGTGTAAAGCTGGAATATATCGGTGCAATCCTTCTGGTACCTCTCCAACAAAGGGTCACAATTTCGAATATCCCTGAAGCTCATAAAACGCGAAATTAACATCCGATTCCATTCAGACTTGGTACATCTCAATATTTCCATCAACACAAGATCTGTTATAAAGATGGTAGAGATCGGACCATTCTTCTGGTACCTCCCCTACAAAGGTTTAAACTTTTGAATATCCATGAAAGTCACAAAACGCGAAATAAGCATCAGGTTCTCTTTATTTTTCACACATCCCATTGTTTCCTCTAAGACAAGATCTGTTGCGAAGATGATAGAGATCGGACCATTCCTTTTGCTACCTGCCCCAACTACAGGGTGAGACAAAAAACTGCAGCAAAGTCAAACGCCATAATTTTTACATTTTTTTTTAATTTTATTGAATGAAAGCAAAAAAATGTCGGAAATAGCATTAAATTTTTGAACAAGTTTTGATTTGTTCGAATTGGTCACCTTTGGCACGAATTATGGCCTTCAAATGGCCAATGAAACCGTCACACGCTGCCCTGGCGAAGCGCTTGCTTTAGGTGATCGACACTTTGGTATTTTTTAGTGCCAATCTTGCTTTCCAAAATACTACAGACACAATAGTCTAACGGATTGGTATCCGGAGACTTTGGTGGCCATGCGGCATTTGTGCGCTGGAAATGAAGCGAGAGACCTCATTTTGTAAACATTCTTGGGTTGCGCGTTCTGAGTGCGATGGTGTTGAGTCCTGTTGGAATGTCCAAAATCTTTGCGTGCTCAAGGCTTTAAAACACCCTTCAGAATATTTTCGCGATAATATTCGGCATTTATTCTGATGCCACGGTCGATTAACACGAGCGGAGAG